CTCTCTCTCTCTCTCTCTCTTTCCACCTCAGTACAGGACTGGGATGCACTGGCTAGACTGGCTCTAAAGGTGTTGAGGCCCTCGGTGGATTTAGAGGGGTCCCTTTGTTGTCCGAGACTCATTTTAATCTGTCCTCTGTGACATGTTTAGCTTGATGGGGGTTTACAATTGCCACTTACTATCTTCGAACTGGAAGGTTTGTTCTCTGAGCATTGATTCAGGGTTATTTTGCAGCTATTAAAGATAATTATGTTGGCAAGAGGGAGGGATAAGGAGCCCGTGAGTAGTTTTGTTGGGAGCAGTAGTTGGTAAGCAGTATTTCAAAATATTAAGCGTGCACTGTCTAGGGATTCATGTTAAGGAGAAAAGATGATGACGATAGTGATCTATTCATTTGTTTTTGAGACAAGGTCTCACTTCTTAGCCCAGGTTGCCCTCAAATTCATGGTGATCCTCCTGCTTCACCCTCAAAGTGCTGGGATCACAGGCATGTGCCGCCACACCTGACTAAAAGTGATATTTTAGAAGCAACTGAAATGTGGTATTTCTAAAAGGGCATTAAAATTTTACTTTCTATTTACTCACATGGAGATAGATATTAAGTCAGCATATGTAGTGTTATGGTTTGGGTCTGTGATGTCCCAGAAGCTCTCGTGTCACAAGATGGGATTACTGGGCAGCGATTGCATGGTTAGTGCTCTAACCCATTAACCCACTGCTAAGAGCCTCATTGGGAAGCAATAGAAACAGGGAGTTAGGTCTAGTGAAGGAAACAGATTGTGGGACTGTGATCTTGGGCACTGTACCTGGTCTCCAGCCCCTCATCTCAGACTGACACCCCCCCCACACTTCCTGGCTGCCATGAGGTGAGCAGCTTTTCCCCTTGCACACCTATGTCCTGCCTCATTTTGGGCCCTATAACACTGGCCGCCAGGCCTGGCCATCCCATTTCTGGATATGCACTGAAATGAGTCTCAAAGGATACACTTCAAAATATTGAGGGTCATTTTTCACTGTTTTTTTTTTTAACGTCTGCATTTTAAGAAAATAATGAATATTCCTTGCTTTTACAATCTAAAGAGAATCTGTTTTTTAAAGCTACTCCTAAGACTAAATAACATAATTTAAAATATCATACAACACTGTTTGAAAAACAGTACACAAGCCAGGTGGCATGGTGTACATCTACAATCCCAGCTACTGGGGAGGCTGAGGCAGGAGGATCACAAGTTTGAGGACAGCTCCGACAACTTAGTGAGACTTAGTCTCCCAATACAAAAGGACCTGGGTGTGGTGGTACACACCTGTGACCCTAGCATTTGGGAGGCTGAGGCAGGATTGCTTGAGTTTGAAGCCTGCCTTGGCTGCACAATGAGACCCTGTCTCAACAAACCAAAACACAAATAAAAAGGGGCTGAGTATGTAGTTTGGAGTTCTCTGGGTTTAACCTTTCAGTACCGAAAAAAAACAACAAAATAATCCCATCACACAAGAGGATATGTACAACACACGAGTGGACATGAAGGTAGACTGAGACCGGGAGAAAATAGTGAAAAAAAGAGACAAGGGATTGAAAATACACACAAATCTATGTGTACATGTGGTGTGGTGTGTATAGGCCCCCAAATGCCTCCAATTCAGAAGAGGGAGTTGGGGCCTGAAGCTTAGCCTTCCCGGCCTGCCTCCTCAGCCCGCCCACCCCTCCTCAGCAGCCCAGAGCCTTGGAGGCTCTGCAAGCCTGGGTTCTGGATCTCTTCCCCGTTCCTATAATGGTTTCATTGTCAGCCCCAGAGCTCAGCCTGAAGAGACAATTGGACCTCACAGCAGCCAGGAATAATGGTTCAAACACAGCAAGACAAAACCCCATTGCCTGTGGGACACATTCTTCACGGTTCAATTGGCCAGCATAAAATGACTCGGTAGGGCAACTCAGCTAATTCAACACAGTTCTGCTCTGCAACATTTATTTTCTAAACCACTCCCCCAGAACAAAACCTGGCCGGTCCATGTTCTCCGGCACCTGGCAGGTCTGTGAGTTGCGTGGCAGCTTGGCATACTCCTTGTGGCGGGGGGCCGTTTCCTAATCGTCCGGTTCCACCCCACCCCAGTCCACACGATAGCACTTGAAGGTTGTTGGATGTCCTGAATTAATTGAACTTGGAAAACGACTCTTGGCGACTGCACCTTCCCCTTCCCCCTGTAGATTTGAAGATCTGTTCATCTCTCTCTGGGTTAAACGGTGACAAAGAAATGTTTTGTTCACTGAAATACCTTTCCTATATTCCTTTCTTTTCCTTTTTTTTTTTAATGTACTGGGGATTGAAGCCACGGAGGCCTTTGTATTGCGCTCTATACCCAGCGCATTTTATTTTTTTATTGTAAGACTAGGCCTCACTAAGTTTCTAAATTGCCCAGGCTGAGCTCAAACTTACACTTCTCCTGTCTCAGCCTCTCAGAGTGCTTATAGGAATGCACCACCACACCTGGCTCCCTCTTAATCTTGCTGAAAACTATTCAGCTCTCCGATTAAAAGTGTATCAAGAAGACCCCCATAAGGGGAGGCCATTGAGATGCCCATCATGGCTGTGGTGCCTGGTCTGCGGAGCAGGCCAACAGCTCCAGCTAAGGACCAAGGCATTGGACTCCAAGGCCACCAGGGTCTGCATTCCTGCCTAGGACTGAGTCTCAGTGTCATTGGCTGGTGAGCTGGAGGGAGTTGGCAAACCTTGGAAACCCATCAGCAAAGAATAGGTGAGGAGTCAAGGTTGGGAGGAAGCAGTGATCTAACTAACAGGTGTCCCAGAAGGGTGTGCACCTTCTCAACATTGTTTTTCAGGGTCAGGGGTGTCCCGGCAATGTAGGAAAAATATAACCCCAACCTGTTAGATGTCAGCTGTGCCTAGTTTGTGTTTTTACAACATCAGGGAATGAAGTCACAAACCAGAGGAAGTTAGGAGAGCTTTACTGGAAATGAGGAGGAGAAAAGCTCCTGGATTTCCAGGAGGGTCATTTATACAGCAAAATCACACTGTTGGTACAACATGGATCGAAGTACAATTAACCTATCGGACTGCAAGTATAGTCACTTAGCTAATATTGATTCAACAGGGAAAGGAGTCATGTAGCAAGGGAACATGGAAAGGACAAGGAAATTTGGGGGAGCGAAGGGGAGTAAGGGCCCAGATGTTCTGGTCTGATGCCGAGCTACAGGGCCCACTGGACCCGGTGGTGTAATTACAGTAAAATCTCAAATTGTAGTTTATCTCTAGGGTGAGCCTCAGGCCTA